CCCCAAAACCCCAAAACCCCAAAACCCCAAAAACACATATAAAAATTGTTTTAAAGTCCCATTTCCCAAAAATGCAATCCCGCGTCTCCCAAATCCACTCGCTCCAGTCTTCCCTGGTCAAACATCGTAGGCGCCTGCATCGCCTAAAATCCTGTATCTCTTATGCTATTGACCTCTAGGCTTGGCCAAGCTCAGGCTGAACGAGACCTCTCTGGTCATTACCAAAATCAGTGAGCTACTGAAAATTTATCAAGAGGTGAAGAAGAAGCACAGTGTAAGTTCTTGAAGAAGAGAAGGGTAATAGAGTAGTTTTATAGATCCGCAAGTAACACAAAATCCCTCAAGCTCAGCTTGCTCCAAAACCTAAACCTCCGCTTCACAGCGTAAATTTCACTCCCTCACCTCTAGCCAAGACAGGGCCAACATAAGTCAGCTCCAACAAAAAATTGAATCCATCGTAAATTCCCTGAAGCAGCCCTTCCTGAAGCACTACATTAAGACCTACACTGAGAGGAGGGCAAATAATTTAGTTTAAGAAGTAGAGTTTAGGAAGAGATTTTGATGGTTTTAGGGGTGTTTTCGGAACAAGGTTTAGAGGCTATATTTGGACTGGAAATTGGAGTTTTGGTAGAGAGTTTGGTGTTGTTTGGTAGAGAAGAGGGAACTGGAAGAGATTTCGAAGGGTTAATACATCATAAGTTTAGTAAGATCATTCAGATTTCTCAATCAGGTTTATATCAATAAAGATATTTAAATTATCTGCATTGCTTTAATACCAAATAATCCACTAACGATTATTGTCTTTTTTGAGTCATAATTTTCTTGAGACATCTTAAACGCTTCATTCCCAATATAGAAATTATTCTATAGACCACGGCCTTCAAGAAGGATAGTTCGGTCTCTTCTATTTCGTGTTATACATAACAAGGTTTCACCATAAGAGAGTGGACGCTCTAGTTTTTCGCTCATATTGAGTCAAAGCAGCATTATAATACTCCTCAGCGTTCTTTAACACAAAAATGTTCTAAAAGTATTATCTGGTTTACCTAATGTCCTGCGATCTCTGTTTTCTTACCTAAAGTGCTGATGTAGCGCCAGGATCATGACTAAACATGTTAATGATCATTTTAAAAAGATTTCCTGTCCAGATTCACTAAAAAATTCAAAAACGTTGGGCTAAAATGGGGTTTTGGGGTTTTGGGGTTTTGGGG